TCTCTCTCTCACCTGTCCACGGTCACGCCCTGCGCGAGCACCTGTGTGTGCGACTCAGTCCACATTTATTCCTCCAAAATATTTTAATGAGCCATTTTTTTTATTTCCTACTAAATATGCTATTTGCTGGTAACAATACATTTCAGTAAAGACTAAGCTCATTATCTGTTTCAGATGTAGCTACTGTAGCGGTCTGGTCATGTTTTACCGGTACATAGAGATATTCCGATATGGACTAGAATCCGTTTCAGTTTCACTGAATCCATTATATGGCCCATCTCATGCATACACGGTGATATGACCTTTTTAAACATCAAACGGCACCTATTCCATGTTCTTTGATAACTATTAGATGTTTAATAATAACATAAAATCAACATAGCATGAAAAGGTAGTGATTATAATATAAATATATCAAATAGGGAAATTAAAGATATTAAACAAAAAAAATTACATGCATTTTGGTCTGTCCCATCTTGCAGTCTTGACCTTCTTGGCTATATCTAACCATTAAAATGAAAAATGTCATAATTTTTATATAATTAAATGTATGTATTAAAACAAATTAAAAAATAAAATACAAATAAACAAATATTTTCAATGAAATTATTTGTGATAACGAACTACTTTTAAATATTTGACATTATTTTTTCCCCACATTTTGTGCACTGTTGCCCATTATGTTTTTTAATACATTCTGTTTCATTTAATATTTATTGCATTTCCAGAAAGTTGACACTGCTTTTCATTGACCATTTACTAAAAAAAATTAAAAGAATTATAATTTTCATACCCCATTCAGTAGCCTATTTGTCCATGATAGCTACTACCTTTTCCAATAATTACTATATAGTAATCATTTAAATAACTGTAACTATTGCATTATTAACTGATATAGGCCTTATGTATAAAATGGTAGGTATTCATTATATACTACTTATTCGTTAGTTTCTACTAACTTTTCTTGTCTTTAAAAAAAGCATGATTCTGTGATTCAGATATCAGCTATGTGTTTCTGACATGGAATCCCATGTGATTCCAGTTATATTAGTAACTATTTATTAGCTACTTGTAATGATTTTCATGCCAAGACTGCGGTGTGTGAGATATATTATTTTCTAACACACACACACACACACACACACACACAGCGGCTGGAGTTAAAGATCAATGAGTATAGCCCACTTCACCGCGCATGAAGCAGGAGAGCTGGCATTCATTAACCCTCTGCTCTGTCAACACTAAGCGGATAAGGAAGCGCAGTCACAGCCGTCTTCTCATGATCAACCTCATCATCTGTAGAGCGGAGGAAATGTGACAGAAGGTCTCTAAAACCCTTCCTTCTCAATGTGTGTGAACCCAGACTCCACAGACTCTGACACGAGTGAGATAAATTACTATTTTCTGCGCTCTGGTGGCCACATTGTAGTATTACGCAGTACGTAGGCATTGCGCTACGTCATCATAAACAACTTTATTTTTTCTCTTCTCTTCCATATGTTCAGATGACATTGGATGTATTGTTGATACATTATGCCTGTGTGTGCGACTCAGTCCACATTTATTCCTCCAAAATATTTTAATGAGCCATTTTTTTTATTTCCTACTAAATATGCTATTTGCTGGTAACAATACATTTCAGTAAAGACTAAGCTCATTATCTGTTTCAGATGTAGCTACTGTAGCGGTCTGGTCATGTTTTACCGGTACATAGAGATATTCCGATATGGACTAGAATCCGTTTCAGTTTCACTGAATCCATTATATGGCCCATCTCATGCATACACGGTGATATGACCTTTTTAAACATCAAACGGCACCTATTCCATGTTCTTTGATAACTATTAGATGTTTAATAATAACATAAAATCAACATAGCATGAAAAGGTAGTGATTATAATATAAATATATCAAATAGGGAAATTAAAGATATTAAACAAAAAAAATTACATGCATTTTGGTCTGTCCCATCTTGCAGTCTTGACCTTCTTGGCTATATCTAACCATTAAAATGAAAAATGTCATAATTTTTATATAATTAAATGTATGTATTAAAACAAATTAAAAAATAAAATACAAATAAACAAATATTTTCAATGAAATTATTTGTGATAACGAACTACTTTTAAATATTTGACATTATTTTTTCCCCACATTTTGTGCACTGTTGCCCATTATGTTTTTTAATACATTCTGTTTCATTTAATATTTATTGCATTTCCAGAAAGTTGACACTGCTTTTCATTGACCATTTACTAAAAAAAATTAAAAGAATTATAATTTTCATACCCCATTCAGTAGCCTATTTGTCCATGATCGCTACTACCTTTTCCAATAATTACTATATAGTAATCATTTAAATAACTGTAACTATTGCATTATTAACTGATATAGGCCTTATGTATAAAATGGTAGGTATTCATTATATACTACTTATTCGTTAGTTTCTACTAACTTTTCTTGTCTTTAAAAAAAGCATGATTCTGTGATTCAGATATCAGCTATGTGTTTCTGACATGGAATCCCATGTGATTCCAGTTATATTAGTAACTATTTATTAGCTACTTGTAATGATTTTCATGCCAAGACTGCGGTGTGTGAGATATATTATTTTCTAACACACACACACACACACACACACACACAGCGGCTGGAGTTAAAGATCAATGAGTATAGCCCACTTCACCGCGCATGAAGCAGGAGAGCTGGCATTCATTAACCCTCTGCTCTGTCAACACTAAGCGGATAAGGAAGCGCAGTCACAGCCGTCTTCTCATGATCAACCTCATCATCTGTAGAGCGGAGGAAATGTGACAGAAGGTCTCTAAAACCCTTCCTTCTCAATGTGTGTGAACCCAGACTCCACAGACTCTGACACGAGTGAGATAAATTACTATTTTCTGCGCTCTGGTGGCCACATTGTAGTATTACGCAGTACGTAGGGATTGCGCTACGTCATCATAAACAACTTTATTTTTTCTCTTCTCTTCCATATGTTCAGATGACATTGGATGTATTGTTGATACATTATGCGTAATGTATGCAAAGTTGTACTTCATTAATGTCATCTTTGAATTGTTTTCAATAAAATTAAAAAATAAAAATTCCTACATCAAAAACAAAACGACAAAGGCAGAGGCAGACAGCCTTTGATTTTAGATATATTTTGAATTGTTTGCAATAAAATAAACAAATAAAAAATAAAAATTCCTACATCAAAAACAAAACGACAAAGGCAGAGGCAGACAGCCTTTGATTTTA